GAGGTAACATGGTACGCCGGGATCACGTAGCCAACGAATGAGCTTATCCCCACTGAGGAAAGAGCATTCGGTCGCCAGTGCAAAAGAGACCAGGGGGGGGGGGGGCATCCCAGGATGCGAAAGACCCCACACCCCGTGGCACCGAGAGACAGCGTCGCGCCGACGGGCAATGGGCCACGGAGCGCCCCGCGCCCAGCCACGGGTCACACGCGCAGCGTCGAGCCGGGCCGACCGGCTCCCGCCTCCCTGACCAACACAGCCATGTCAGTCGAGCCGGGCCGACCGGCTCCCGGCTCTCTGACCAACACAGCCATGTCAGTCGAGCCGGGCCGACCGGCTCCCTGAACCAGCACAGCCATGTCAGTCGAGCCGGGCCGACCGGGTCCCGGCTCCCTGACCAACACGCCATGTCAGTCGAGCGGGCCACCGGCTCATCTGACCAGCACAGCCATGCAGTCGAGCCGGGCCGACCGGCTCCCGCCTCCTGACCAACACAGCCATGTCAGTCGAGCCGGGCCGACCGGCTCCCGGCTCTCTGACCAACACAGCCATGTCAGTCGAGCCGGGCCGACCGGCTCCTGGCTCCCTGACCAACACAGCCATGTCAGTCGAGCCGGGCCAACCGGCTCCCTGACCAGCACAGCCATGTCAGTCGAGCCGGGCCGACCGGTTCCCGGCTCCCGGCTCCGTGATCAACACAGCCACGTGAGCGGTGGGCGTGTCCTCGCCGAGGGGACGTGTCGGGCCGACCGGCTTCTGGCTCCCGGCTCCCTGATCAACACAGCCACGTGAGCGGTGGGCGTGTCCTCGCTGAAGGGACGTGTCGGGCCGACCGGCTCCCGGCTCCCGGCTCCCTGATCAACACAGCCACGTGAGCGGTGGGCGTGTCCTCGCCGAGGGGACGTGTCGGGCCTACCGGCTCCCGGCTCCCGGCTCCCTGATCAACACAGCCACGTGAGCGGTGGGCGTGTCCTCGCCGAGGGGACGTGTCGGGCCTCCCGGCTCCCGCCTCCCGGCTCCCTGGTCAACACAGCCACGTGAGCGGTGGGCGTGTCCTCGCCGAAGGGACGTGCCGGGCAGATGACGACGGTCCGATGTGCGTGCTTTATGCGCGACAGCGGCGCTTGGAGACACCGGACGGGCCGAGACGGACGCGCCGTTGATGAGGTGGGACAACTGAAGTCATCATCAGTTGGCTATGTCCTCAAGGGAAGCAGGTAACGGCAGCTGTTTCAGCAGAACTCGAATCGTTTTCAAGCTGGACGAATTTAATGAACGCCGTGAGCCCGAAGACCATCAAGCTACAACTGCTGCGCAACCACTACGTTGAGGTTCTATAGAACGTCATGAGCTCGAGGAAACTACGGATTGGCTGTTGAGTTTATCAGATAGCCTGAGAACATGGACATCATCAAGCGCTACGCTGTGTCGTATGTCGCATTACTACGACACAACCGAAAGCCGCGAACGATAAAGGGTGTCCAATCGGCGACGAAACCAAACCGTTCATACCAGTACCTGTGTTGCAGAGCACAATGGTGGTAGCTTGGGATGAGCGATGTGTATCGCCGCGGCCCCGCATGGTGAAGCCCGCCCTCCGGTACATTTTCTGGGTGACAACCTCGGCGCGTGCAATTCCAGCGGCGTCGGACGTAACATACCCAGGAACAGGTCTTGACTTTGCACATTTCCACAGCCAGATCGCGGCGAAAGCGATGATGTGCGAGCAGGCTCATCGCGTCAGTTCCGCGAAGGAGGCATGTGATCGACCCCGTCACGTGTCAGAAGTCAGAAATTGGAGGGAGGAAATAGGGATTTCTTGGGTTTTTCCCACCGTGCAATGAGATAGGCGTGGCGTAAGAACCTAGGAAAGTAAAGGAAACTAGCTGCCTCGCCTTGTTCTGCCTGTGGCGGATCCATGAGAAGACGTCACAAGCAGCACAGCCTGCACCATCACGGTCCTACGGCCGCTGCCGCACGCTATCGCCTATCAATGCAGGATTAAAGACGGGCTTATGACACCATTGCTGGGGATGCACGACGCCTGTGGTAGCACCCGTGTTGTGGAATACCTCTCCATCGCAACACGGGCCATTGGATCTTCAACAATGAATGAAGTGTCGAACAAGTTCATGACGCGGCACGATCCACAACTAATGAACTTTGCGAAGAAGCCGACAGCTGCGTCGATAGCGGTGACCGCAAACCACCGTGCGGTTCATTACGAGGCAGCCAAACTCGCAACAAGTCACTTACCGGACTGAGGAACAGAAAGGGCGTATAGGGCGGCTCTGCAGTTGAGTCCTGAGACATACCAACTGGAAAATCAGCAGTGTGGTCGATGCAGGGCTGCGAAGGCTGCAGCCGACTCAACGGAGGTCTGGCGCCGGCGACCAGGCGGGCAGGCTCATGAACGGACGGAGGACGGCACCAGCGACCAGGCGGGCAGGCCCATGAACGGACGGAGGCTGGCGCCGGCGACCAGGCGTGCAGGCTCATGCACGGATGGAGGTGGTCCGATCCGAACAGTGTCGATGGGTCAGCAGCGCTGGGGCGTCGTGGAGACGCAGACCCCGCACGGCGTACGACGCATCGGTCAAAAGGGCGGGAGGCCCACCCGGACACTGCGTGTCGCCACGGGCTGCCGCAGTCTCATATAGTCAACAGCTTCTGTCTCCCGAAGACCGACCCAGCGTCCGTCGCGGGAAGACAGCGTGAGTGTCTCATGGCCACCCCAGTCTTATCGGTATAGTCAATTATGACGCGTCGGATAGCGCACGCCGCGTCAGGTATGCCGCAAAGCGTTTAGCAAAGTGTGCCGCTTGAGTTTGCCGTACAGCTTAGCTCAGTATGCCAGCAACGGACGCACGCGCACGCACACACACACACACGCACGTACGCACACATACACACACACACGCATGCACGCACGCACGCAAGCATATATATATATATATATATATATATATATATATATATATACATATTCGCTGTCATTTTTCCATTTCATTACTTGTTTTTTATCATTTTATCTTTATTTTTTCGATTCGCTATATTATCCACATTGTTTGGTGAGAACAACGATAAAATCAAGAGTGATAACTGACAACAAATCAAATATAGCTTCCTCCTACCCATTTTCAGCTTCACCCAGACACCCCGGGTCTCTGGGTGCGCTCGTGTCTCTTTTGCCAGTCTTCGCCAGCGTAGGTGGTCGAAGTGACGTGCTCCGAGGTCACCCCGCAATTTTCAACGCATCATGATTCAATTTGGGTTCAAGACCATTTTAAAGCTGATCTGTTGTAAGTGAAATTTCTCACCATGTCAGGCCTCTCATATCACCGCATTCACAATGGTCTCCATCGCGCGAATATCAAGTTCCGCGAAATATTCGGGCATGTCGTTGCATTAAATCGCTTAGTCGTCCGGAAAGCGTGTAATGGTTGCATCACAGATATCGTTAATGGCCATGATGTCTATGGTCCACCAAGCTAAATATTTCCTTCGTTATTTCGTGTGTAGTTTCAAAAGAACACCTATAATTATATATATAGTTTGCTACAGCTTAGGGTAGTCTTTAGAGCTTAGTTAAGTCTTATGTGCATAGTTTTCCTTGGCGTATAATTTTGCTAGGTTTACAAACAAGCAAACTGTCACAGCCTCATTCGTCCAATCTCCTGGAAACTATTTACAGCCAAGCGTTTTGGCAGCCTGCTAGAGTTTTGGGTCTGAGAAAGCACTCAAATATACATCACACGTGACTGTGCGCTTAAATTAAACTCGATGCTGTCGATCTGTGTTGTTTAGCCGTTCCACCGCCGTTTGAATTACTACTTGAAGTACTTGGAGGTCCATCTGGCCAACTATGTCCGAGCAGAGCGCGTCCTCGGGCACGTGGCGCCGACGGGACGCGGTCCCCTCCCCCTCGACGCACCTCCCCAGCGTGCGCACCCTCCTCTGGGCTCCCCTCGGCTGCCGCGGCGTCACGTGGTGCGCGCCGGCGCCGCTCCGGGCGGTCACGTGGTACGCGGCGGTGCCGGCGGCGGCGGCGGCGGCGGCTGCTATCCATTGGCCGCGACAGAGCCGTCCCCCGTCCCCCAGTCTCGCCGATGCCCCCTCCGCCCAGACAGCCCTCAAAACACCGGCGGCACAGTGCGAGAGGCCGCCGCTGGCCGCAGTGCGGGCGCTGTGGCCGGTAGCGAGCCCAATGTGGCCAGTAGCGACCCCGCCGCGACCAGCACAGCTTGCACACAACCCACGGCGGCTGATGTTGCTGGTTCAAAAGCTCAGCAGCCTAGAGTTTCACTGCACCTGATCTCCAGCTGTGCATGGAAGCGCAGCACCAGCACGGCTGGCGTCGGTGTTCCGTCGGGGCCGCGACCACCACAGGCCGCGGCGCGGCGCAGTCCGTAGCGACGAGCGCCAGCTGCGACACCAGCGCTGGACGGCGAGGTGCAAGGCCCCGCGAACTCGGCCCAGACGTCTTCGGCGTCCGTTTACAATGTACGTATGCGCCAGACTGCTGACCAGGCGAATCGCGTCGACCCGACGGCCCGCTAGCCTTGGATCGAAACGCATGGGCACCTCCAACGCCAACACGTGCAAACCACATTCAAACCGCCCGCGACATAGTTGGCAGCCCGCCAGAGCCCCGTCTGAAAGAAGCGCCGAGCACCAGCGAAACACGGCGCCAGACCGCGTCACAGGACGCGGCGGTACGATACGCCTGTCACGCCGCAACATCTCAGTTCATCAACCTGGTGGCGCTGCACTCGGCGGGGGCGGCCCACTCGGCAGCCGAGCCGGCCGCCCCGGCGCTGGCCGGCCGCCGTCGCGCGGCGAGGCCACGCCACGCGGCAGCTGGCCAGCGCGGCGACGCCGCCGCCTCCCACCCGGCGCACACAGACACACATACACGGCACGCGTTCACAGACGGCCGGACACGCATCGCCAGGTGACGCCACGACCGCTCCGGCCGCCGGCACACGTGCGGTACTCACCGGCAGCGCTCGTGCGGTGCGGCTGGGCTGGGCTGGGGGTTCTCGTCCGGTGCTCCGCGGCGCCCGGTCCGGCCGCCGCTCCAACGGCTCTGAAGGTCTGCTGCCAGCGCCGCCAGCCACAGCCGCGTGCCTCGCGCCGGGCGATCCCAAACGGCCGGCCGGGGGAGGCCGCTGGCAATCGGGCTCAGGCGGTTGGCGCGTAAACAAAGGCGCTTCGCCGCCGGAGAGGCAGGCGCTGGCGGCTGGCTATCGGCAGGGAGGTGGGCGGGAGGACTGGCGCCAGACGCTTGGAGACGGCGGAAGACTTTACCCAGCTGGCTGATGTGCAGTGGCAGGTCTCCTCCAGCGCATATAAGTCCAATCGCCTCTTCGGCTCGCCGTCTTGGCGCGGGGAAATCGATATAAAGGGTATACAGGCTCTGTGGACGTGCGGACGCCGAGGAGCGCCGGCCGACCGCCGGCCGCTGCCCGCAGTACCTGTGTTGGCGACTGTACGGAGTGCGGCCGCACCGGCCGGCTGCGGCGGTGGAGCGCAGGCCTGCCGCTGTCCGCAGCAGGAGGCGCCGCCTCGCCGCTCCCCTCCCCACGGGACGCCGGCGCCGTGGAAACGGCCCGTCAGGCCGTTGGATCGGCACCTGGCCCGAGTGCTGCAGCGCCGGTTCGCCGCGAGTCATCGAGCCTGCGCAGCTCCCGGCATAACTGTAGCCAGCCGGGCGCGCGCTCCCCGGCAGCAGCCTCCGATGCAGATTCACGGCGCGGCGTTCGCGTGGCGGTCGGCGACAGTCGGCTCAGGCCGCTCCCGGGGCACGTCCGGCGGTCGGTTGGAGGAAAGCGGCCGGCGCCGGGGTCCGCCCACGCGGCGCCACGCCCGCGACCCCAACCCCGGCGCTCGCTCCCGCCGGAAGCGGCCTGAGCCTGCCCGTCCCGCCCGGCCGCCTCCGACGACCCGAAGAGATCACGCTCCAGTCGTGACGTCACACGACTGTCGGTGACGTCACGGCCGGTGCTCGCCGGGCGAGGTGAGCTCGCTGGGAGACGAGGAGGCCTCGCGAGCGGCGCCGGCAGGCGGCGTGCAGGGGCGTGGGACGGGCGTGGGCAGGCCCCTCAGGCGCGGGAGCGGTGGGGCCCGGGGCGTGGGAGGGTCCGGTTGGGATGCACAGCGGCTCTAGACGACTCGGACTTGACTCACAGAGCTGTCAGCGATGTCTGCAGCTGCAGCTCTGCAGATGGGATACGTTGCCTGCTGCAGCGGCTGCAGCAATGCCGCAAAAGTAAACCTCTTTACGCCTGTAGCTCAAGTCGCCGTAAAATTCTTTGTATCTGCATCATTGATGTCCAACAGCAAATGGAAAAATAATTTCAAGGTAGTCGACACGGTACCGATAATTTATTCCGCATAACCAAAAGACCATCAACGGTTGTCACGGGCTTAACTTGATGGAAAATACAAACCCTATATTTAGTTAAGTTGTCCGGCCGACTAATAGGCAGTGAAATACAAGCTGAGCACTCACTTTGCTTCCTGGCATGACCAACACCTGACAATGGACGCCGTAGCACTTGTTTGTGACACCAAGCCTCATCTTGCTTAGAGTTCAACTCTTGGCCTCCTTGTGCCTAGCGTGGGCCCTAGGCAGTCGAGCTGGGCCATGTTGGCTATCGAGACGGTAGGAATGCTCGCAATCTTGCACTCCCTGCGCTTCGTTTTAGTGCGCCTGGCGCGGTGTGCTGAGCTCGCTCCCTTCCAATGGACTTTGGCCGCTACCAAGATACCATGTTGGAGCTGCCCCTGCCTGTACAGCTGAGGCCGACGAGACGACGCTGTTCTTTGAAAGCGACGACGCGTGCTGTTGTTTGGCCCCAACGCCGCCCTCCGCTGGGGAGGAGCGAGTGGTGGAGTCCAGTACAGTCTGTGGATGGAACGGACACTGGCCACTTGGGGCGCCGCGCCATCGTGGACCGGCACAGAACGGTCACGGTCATCGTGGACCGGCACAGAATGGTCACGGCCATCGTGGACCGGCACAGAACGGCCACGGCCGTCGTGGACCGGCACAGAACGGTCACGGCCATCATGGACCGGCACAGAACGGTCGCGGCCATCGTGGACCGGCACAGAACGGTCACGGCCATCGTGGACCGGCACAGAACGGTCGCGACCGTCGTGGACCGGCACAGAACGGTCACGGCCATCGTGGACCGGCACAGAACGGTCACGGTCATCGTGGACCGGCACAGAACGGTCGCAGCCATCGTGGAATAGCACAGAATAGCCACGGCCATTGTGGACCAGCACAGAACGGTCACGGCCATCGTGGACCAGCACAGAACGGTCACGGCCATCGTCTATGCCGTGCTCCAGACAGCACTCTCAGACAACATGTAGACCCCGGCGTGTTGCTGGCGGCTGGGTTGCTCTGACCTACTCCGTTTACATCAGCTGATGCTCGCTCAGTCTGCCTGGGTAACGGTAACGGTTGTCCGGCCATGTTAGCAGCAGAGGCTTCATGTTTGCCCTGGTAATGGCTGTGCAATGCCGCGCTCCGTGTTTGAAGCTCGCGGCGCTCACGCGCATCACTGACCTCGCGTGAGCTTGCCTCGTCACCGTCCAGAGCACAGATGAGCCTGATGCTCATCGGGCCAGACAAGTCCTGTCGGGTGCCGGCCGCCTGCAGAGCGTAGAACCTGGTGTTGGCGGCCGCCGCTCTACACCGTGGGCTTGGCAGATGGCGTTCATGGACGCGATACCTTAGCTGTTTGTATGTATGAGCGTCAGCGGGACGGTCTCCCGTTTGGACAATCGGAGTCGCCGCGACAGCCAGCTTTGGTCTGATGCCGGCTCTCCGCCTCGGTCGTGTCGCAGGAACGCCCCGGGAGACGCCGTCTTATCCGCCACACGGTCTCTCCGTGAGGAGTCCTTGTTCGAGTTCCGCCGTCGCTGACACCCCAGTCAGGAGCTCACGACCGGACTCCGCGCGGCGGCGTCATCCGCCCGCCAGGGACGGCAGTGACGGCCGCATCGGGAGCTAATGAGCGGTCAGAGTAGGTGATCGCGTCACCGTCCCCCCCCCCGCTCCCCCCCCCCCCCGGCCTCCTCTGATCGAGCCACGCCGGCTGTGCTGTAGCTGCGGTCGTCGTCGGTCCGCTGGCTTGAGGGAGTGCTTCTTCTGTTTGAAGGTTCGATCAAGCTCGTCCTGGGGCCAGGGGCCGGCAAACGCCGTCTGGGGCCGCCTATGCCGCCATGGACGGGGGCCCGGCCTATGCCGCCTGGTGGGGCCGCGTCATGCCGTCTGGTGTGGGGCCGCCTATGCCGCCTGGTGGGGGCCGGCGTCTGCTGCCTGGTGGGGGCCGCCTATGCCGCCATGCCCCTGGTGGGGGCCGCTATGCCGCCTGGTGGGGGCCGCGGTCTGCTGCCTGGTGGGGGCCGCCTATGCCGCCTGGTGGGGGCCGTGTCTGCCCGCCTGGTGGGGGCCCCGTGTCTGCCGTCTGGTGGGGGCCGTTGTCTGCCGTCTGGTGGGGGCCCGACCCTGATGCCGCCTGGTGGGGGCCGTGTCTGCTGCCTGGTGGGGCCGCGTCTGCTGCCTGGGGGGGGGCCGCCTATGCCGCCTGGTGGGGGCCGTGTCTGCTGCCTGGTGGGGGCCGTGTCTGCCTGCCTGGTGGGGGCCGCGTCTGCTGCCTGGTGGGGGCCGTGTCTGCCGCCTGGTGGGGGCCGGTGTCTGCCGTCTGGTGGGGCCGCCTATGCCGCCTGGTGGGGGCCGCCTATGCCGCCTGGTGGGGGCCGGGTCTGCTGCCTGGTGGGGGGCCGTGTCTGCTGCCTGGTGGGGGCCGTGTCTGCTGCCTGGTGGGGGCCGCGTCTGCCGTCTGGGGTTGCGTTTGTACCCTGTGCCAGGCGCCGCCCGGCACGCGGCCGCCCCGCTCCGCCTCGCACTGCGAGGTCGTGCCGGCACGCGGCCGCTGCCCCTGGCTCTCGGCTGTTCTGCGCCGGTGGTATTGAGCTCAGCCAGGCGGCCGCTGCCCCTGGCTCTCGGCTGCTCTGCGCCGGTGGTAATGAGCTCAGCCAGGCGGCCGCTGCCCCTGGCTCTCGGCTGTTCTGCGCCGGTGGTATCGAGCTCAGCCAGGCGGCCGCTGCCTCTGGCTCTCGGCTGTTCCGCGCCGGTGGTATCGAGCTCACTCAGACGTGCTCGTCCGCTCTGTGGCCTAGCATTCCGCTCATCAAACGAAGTCCGTGTTTGGCAACAGCCCAAGTAGCCCGTGCTCTAGCTGTACCGCGGCTTCCCTCTGTCTGTTCATACGTCTCTGCATTCTGACCCCTTTGCTTCTTCCTGATTCGCAACCGTCATACTTGAGCATTGCGTGTCGTAAAAGGGCTGTTGCCCGAATCTGGAACGCGGAATAATCCACTGGTTGCTGCCCCAGGCGATTATGTGTATTATGGCCAGCTACTTTCGCCTTCTAGACTCCGTGTCATGCCTGCCTGATCCAAGATGAGTCACAGTCTCTGCCCACTAAACTGCTGCCGGCCTTCCCAACTGCCAGATACGGAGGTCGTTTCGGGAAAGCACACTTCTTTTCGCTTTCTGAGAACACACTTCTTTGCTACGGGAAATGCTAAGATTTGCCAATTTGGTTATTTCACGGGAGCGTTTCAGTGCCACGCTATGTTGTCGAGACTTTCTACGGTTCACATTTGCTTAGGTTGACATTCCGAGTATGCTGCTCATACCCTATCGCAGTTGCTTCATACAGTCGCTACACGCTCTCGTGCTCGTGAAGAGTGACGTCATTAGCTCACAGGGAGCGACACCATCAGCTGACGCGGCGTGGAAGCCCGCCTCCAAGCCGGGGGGCCCTCGCTTCCACGTGCTGCAAGAGACGATACCTCCGCCCCATGACGGCCCTGCCACACAGCTGGCCAGGGCACGCCCAACCGTCGCGGTGCGCTCCGGCGCAGGCGGGCAGAGTTGATCAGACTTCCGGGCGCCCGGTTCAGAGTCCCGCCGCTGGTGGCGGGTTCATGGGGAGGACGTCCCGTCGCTGGGCGCCGGGTCCAGGAGGGGGGGGGGGGGACGT